GATGTCGCTGTCCATGTCATTGATAAATATATTGAACAGCACCAGATGTCAGCAGTGTCTGCGTTTCCCTGCTCGACTTCTGACGGTGCAAGGCTGCCCCGTGCCGAAAGCCCGTGCAGGGCTGGGCAGCTGTCCGAGCAGCAGCCAGCCCAGCAGCCAGCCTGCCCCACGCAGAGCCCCGCAGGGACCGGGGCAGGTCAGCGGCGCTTGTGCCCTCAGCCCCATCGTATGAACGCTCCTGGGATGTGGGAAGTCATAGTCACGTGTTTTTGTCTACCTAAAGCGATCAAAGCTCTAGCTTTGGCGTATTTTGTAGGACCTGAAAAAAATTCAACAGGAGATACTGCGTAATCTGTAGTCCAGTGATGTGCGCGCCCTCGGGAGAGAGGTCTGAGGTAAAAATCACTGCTTCGAAGCAGGGATTGTTCCTTGGCCGGTGCATAGTCAGTCAGCAGCGCGTGGTGCGTGAATACCAGTTTGAGAATGCTCCACCCCAAAATACTCTGTTGGAAGAGCAGGGTTTTGAATCTTGAAAACTCGCTGAGCGCTGTCTCCTCCAGAGCTAGTCTGGACCGGGAGAAGGCAGCATTTCCGTCCACCCCAGGGGCAAGGGCTCTCCGCTGGAATGAGCAGCGCCTGAGGTGAGACGTCTGCCCTTGGGCTTGGGCCGAGTTTAGGGCAAGGAGTACCTCTTCTAGGCAGGACTGCGTCCGGTTCGCTCTGCACCTGCCCGGCAGCGGGAAGTTGGGTGCCTGCAGCATTAGCCCTGGAGCAGTGGTTTCGAAGTCCTCCCTGGTGGTGGCTGAAGAAGGCAAAATGTTGCTTGACCGCTTCTCAGAAGCTGAACCTGACTGCCTTTCGGCGCTGATCGCTCACAAATACAATGCTTTGGTCCTGACGCTGAGAGCCTGTTCCTAACGCCCGCTGATGGTGCTGCATGTACCCTGCGCTCAGCAGACACAATCACAGAATCACAGAATCCCAGAGTGGTAGGGGTTGGAAGGGACCTCTGTGGGTCATCTAGTCCAACCCTCCTGCAGCTACAGCAGGCTGCACAGGTCCGTGTCCAGGAGCGTTTTGTAACTGCTCAGAGCACCTCCCTGGGCAGCCTGTGCCAGGGCTCCATCACCCTCAGAGGGAAGAAGTTCTCCCTCATGTTCAGACGGAACTTCCTCTGCTTCAGTTTGTGCCCGTTGCCCCTTGTCCTGTCGCTGGGCACCACTGAAAAGAGTCTGGACCCCATCCTCCTGACACCCACCCTTAAGATATTTATAAACATTTATAAGGTCCCCTCTCAGCCTTCTGTTCTTCAGGCTAAAGAAGCTGAACTGCTGCGAGAAGCCAGAGGGGTTGGGAGACCTGCGTCTGAGTGGTTTGTGGCAGCTTCCGCTTGAACCTGAGAGATGAATCTGGTGGTCCCAGCTTTCCTCGATTCTCTAAGTCTGCCACGTAGTGATTTCTTCTTTGTTTTCCTGCTCATAGTGTGGATTTTGTCTTCTCTTTTTCTTTCTCCAACACCCTGAACCCAGATGAGCTTAGGACAAAGAGCAAAGTTGACCTGCACACCTGAGATGGCCTACGGAGCCACAGGCCACCCTGGGGTCATCCCTCCCAATGCCACTCTCCTCTTTGACGTGGAGCTTCTCAGGCTGGAGTGAATCTTCTCGAGGGCGTTGGCTGGAGACATCTGTTAATAACCATCTGGTCCCCCTCGCCTTGCCGGCAGCGGGAGAAATCTCCACTGGAATCCCAATCTTCCCTGCTCAAGCTGTCCTGTCAGTAGCGCCTGCCGTTCGGGTTCTTACGCCTTCCTTCTCTTTTTTAACTTTGTGGTGTCCATATTTGCCTTTTATTAGAAGCTTCGCTTTAGGAAAAATGTCTACTGTTGTAACATTTTCAAGTTGTACATTTTATTTAATTTGCATGTAGGAAGAATACACAGTGACGACTGAAAATATATATAGATATAAATATATATATATTCCTTATTGAAAAACCACTGCCTTACTGTACACTTAAACCAAGAAGAAAACAAACCAAAAGGTGCTCAAAAAACAAAAAAATCCAGTGTACGCCTTGTACATGAACGGGCATTAGCCAAACAGAGTTACCTGCGCTGCCACTTTCCTCAACTTGTACGTTCTGCTTGCTGCTGTTTTAAAAAAATACCGTCTCATTTAAGAATTAAAAATATATATATAAAACAATAAAATCTTGACACTTTACAGTTTCTGTTCCCTGTTTTTCTGCTTTCCTCTGGCCGCTGGAATTCTTTCTGGTGTGTAAGAAGTTCTTCAAACAATCATCAACCCGTTTTTTGCTGATTATTTCTCTTCTTATACGAAATACACATAATTCCCTGCGCTGCTTCTGTTGTAGGTGGCACAGTGGAAGATCTCTGAGGTACCAGGAACATGCAGGTGAGGTGGGACAGAGAGGTTTCCTGACTCTCCATCTCCCCTGCCCGTGGCCTCTCAGCTCTGGCCAAAATGTGGCTGCTGAAGGGACGGGCAGCGACGCTGCTCAGAGCCATGCAGCGCTGCTCCAGTTCTGTGCATTTATTACCGTAAAACCAGCGTAAAAATTCCTACTGGAGATGAGACAGGCTGGAGAAGAGCCAAACTACACGCCTCTGCCTTACGAAGCAAATCTGAACTGTCGGATGATGCGGGATGGTGAACACCCCGGGGGTTTTTTAGGCTGCGTCTTCTGACGGTGCTCACACAACCTGCAGACTTCCTTTGTGCGTGGGGCTCCTGGCGCTCGAGACCGGGTGGTATTGATCTCGTTCGGTAGTGCTACGAATTCAGAAAATGCTGGTTCCTCCCCTGGGGACAGCCGGATGCGCAGACTGTCATGCACCTGGTTTTAGGAGCAGGACCTGAGCAGCGAAGGTGCCTCGGTGCTGTTATTTTGCTTTGCCTAAATTGGATTTCTCACCTTTTGGCTTGCTTTTCCCCTTTGCTGGAGGAAAAAAAGAGCATCACTGGGTTGTGATGGTGTTCTTACTTAACTGGACACTAAACTGTTCACATAGTTTTCAACTAACGGATCTTTTGATGGAAGCATTCCAGACAGTTGTCGTGCTGTTTTCTCCCGTGAATCTGTGTCCTCACACCCCTAGCACGAGCAGACCGACGGCGAAGCAGCGTGGGTGTCTCCCGGTGGCACCTCGGGGAGAGGAGAGCGAACAGGAGCACAGCAAAGCCAGACTGGCAGTCTGGCCAGCGGCTGCAGCCCGCGCTCTGCTTTCCCCACGTGTTCATTTCACCCACAAAGCTGCATCTGAGTTTGTTCATTAATAAACCCATAAACCCCATCTCTTGCAGGCTGATACTTGCCTTGGTGGAGTAAAATTTTTTCATGCTCCCCTCTCTGTAAAAAAACGAAAGGCCTTTTGAGGCCCTTATTTTTTGGTGGAAATTTAGGGCCTTTCCGCTCCTGCTGGGTTTGTGATCAGCGAGAGACGCGTTGCAGCCGGGCGCGAAGAGCCGATCCCACTCACTTAGAATCACAGAATCACGGAATGTTCGGGGTTGGAAGGGACCTCTGTGGGTCATCCAGTCCAACCCCCCTGCCGAAGCAGGGTCACCTACAGCAGGCTGCACAGGACCTTGTCCAGGCGGGTCTTGAATATCTCCAGAAAAGGAGACTCCACCCTCCCTGGGCAGTTGCTGTCTGCGGAGCTGCCGTGCACCTCCCTTTGGCGCTCAGCAGTTCAGCCCCGCCATCACCAAGTCTGTAGAATCCTTATTACGGCCGGTTGATGAAGCTCTCTCCCTCATCGCCCTTTCTCTGCAGAGATCTTTGCTGGAAGCAGAGATTATTACATTTTTCGTGCCAATTTCATTAAAAAAAAATCTGAAAGGAAAACTAATTGTGCTTTGTGATACTTAGGGAAATTAAGTCTTCAAGGAAATATAATCTTCAGCTCTTTATTTGACTGCAAATGTGTTAATTTATTTAATTGCATCATCGATCAACACAGTACATATAATTATTACCACCATATAATAGACTGGAAAAAATTTACCATCATTGCCTGTGTGTTCAGATATGCTCTTGTTACTAATTTCTAAACAGCATCGATGGAAAAAAAATGACCTTCCAGGCTTAATTTCGTGCCCTGCTTCCTGAGAAACTGAATGGGAAGTGAGGACACGCGAAAACCAGCACGGATGCGGAGTATGTGGCTGGTAACATCTGCCTCAGTTGCTGCCCCCTCTGCCATTCACATAACTGAACTCATTTCCCCGTCCTTTGATATTACATTTCAAACAAAATCTTGAGCAGACCTCATCAAAACAGTCCTCCGGGCATTCAATTTCCATCCCCTCTGTCTTGCAGGCACAAATTATTATTTCATTTTACATGTGCAGGGACATTGAAAGCCCTGAACAGGCACTAGAAGACAAAGTATGAAATGGAATATTTAATGAAAAGCAGCAGCTGAGCTCTCAGAGAAATCAAAAGCTGCTGATCTTGAGCATTCATTGAAGGAATTTTTATTAATCTTATTACCCTAAAGAATTGCTTCTTAAATGTGTTTTTCAAACAGCATAAAATCCTCATCAAAGCAGACACTGCGGTGCAAGCGCCGTGCTCTCCGCTATTGACAGAAGCAACGCGGTATTTGCAGATGATTTTAAACAAGGCTGGCAGCACACGGCACCATTATTAGCACTTTGATCTTTTATTATCAGTATTTATTATTATTCACTAGAAGCGTAAATCTAGCACCTCCAATTCCTGTTACAGCAAGGGGCCTTCTAAATGGCCCCAGGTAGCCCAGTGTTTGGCACACGTACGTGTGTGTGCCCATGTATATACATGGCATATATATATATCTCTCTATATATAGGGGGGCAGGCTGTAACCTTTAAAAAGCTGCGGGTATGGCAAGCCCTCCAGCAGGATTTCGTTCATTTCAACATTTCTAAGGCAAGCTGGTTTTTGCCTGAGAAACCGAGGTTCATATCGATTGTAGGGCGCGACGTGGGGTGCAGGCGGAACCGCTCGCCTGGGGACCAGGCCGGCCCGCGCAGTTAAGGTACGCGCCCCGCAGCTGGCAGGGGAAGCGCCGCAGGGCTGGCGAGCGCCCGGCTGGCAGGGCTGTACGTTTCTGGCCTTCAGGGACGCGGGCGCCGCCCCAACGGGC